ATTATTGCTCCAGTACGAGTGCGTTTTATTTCTCAGCCCAGCCGTCTCTCAGGACTGATTTTCATTCAGTACAAATGTTCTCATTATAAAGACTTAACACGAGGAGAATATAAATGAGAAGATAAGTGCACGCTAAGAACTTGCTTATACAGAAACTGTATTGATCAAAGGAACAGCAGAGCAGAACACATGTCAGCATTAACGTGCTCCTATTTCCAGGGTTCAAACAGTTTCCTTTCCCATAGGAATGGTGTGACTCCTTGCCTCTGAAACCAGGCCAACGTAATGATTTTGTTTTACTGAAATAAAAAGTGCAAAGCGTTTCTATAGAACATTATGGTACGTCACTAATGAGCTCTTTGAAAGCAAAAGCACCTTCATCAGTTTCACAGATTACCCCTTATCACTATGTGAAAACTTACGGAAGAATCACAAATTAAATTACCACGTAACCATGACTTCAAACAATTTTCATAAAGCTAAAACAACACTTACTCTATCCGACTGCCCGCTAATCACACAGCTGACCCACCCACCGTCTCAGTTCTGGGAGGGTGCATCCCTTGGGAACTGCTTTTGTCCGGTGGTTTTGGGCTGTCTCCGCTGCCTCAGGATCAGACAGTAGACATCTGCAGATGAAGACTTCAGTGAACAGCCACGCAGACCTTCCTCTGACCTCTGGCAGTGCGAGTGAGACCAGAGGTGTCTCTGCAAAGACATCAACCTCTTCGGGATTTCAGTGACAACTTCCCCCCTCCTCCAAAGGGATGGAAACTTGTAGCTGAAAGCTACACGACGGATTTAGTCCCTCATTTTCTAAGGCCAAGACAATACGCTGTTAACAGTTGAACAGAGGCAGAGGGCATTCACAGATAAAAGACTGCTTTGAAAAAGATTGCGCAAAACAAAGTCCCAGGCTAGAAGCAGAGTGAAGCAAGCCTCAGGTGCCCGGCTACCAGGCTCCACGCGAGGCAACCGGATTCCCTCCTGGCTTCCACAGGGCTGGAGCTGGCTCTGCAGGTAGTATTTCATCTGCAGTGAAAGAGTTTCAGTTTACACTTAATTTCGTGAGCATATTCTCAGACATAACTGAATTTAAAAAGTAAATGTGTGTTTTTACTAAACTTCAACTTACAAGCTCTGCTGAGTGCAGTGGCTTTGCTCTTCTATTTTTCCTGCTTGCTGACTACAGAAACGTGTAGGATCTCCCTCAAGACCTTTATAAAACCAGAATTCTAACAAGACTATATGAGTCACGTCTAGACTGACATAAAAATGAAACAGTATCATTTTTGTCACCAGAATGAAGCATGGCTGACACTCTTTGATCCATGACACACTCACATGGCCTTTAGGCTAAAATAGCACACACAAAAGTGTGCACAGTTGTAATCAGAAACTTCTAGAAATACAGAACATGAGGCCTCTTGGATCCTAACTTCCAGGTTGTATAACCTTTCCATGAAGTAGTATTTTACCACTCAAAGCATCATACTTACTTCAATAGGACCATTAGTGGATACAGGGCATTATCCAGTGTGTGTCCCAATATCTGTGTATCTGGATACACAGTGTCTGAATCTGACCTTAAGCTCCAATCCTCCTTAGATTTATATCACCTTCAGTCAATGCAGAAACCCTATTTAGTTTCCTTTTCACAAAGAGCTTGAAGCACATTCATCTGTTGTATTACTATCTAGCTACCAGACTGAGCACTCTTATGCCATGTTCACCCATGCTTAGAGACACTGGTTTCTAAAACAGTCTCTCTTCCCACACCAGAGAATTAGTGTCTGTAGATCAGGACTTACATGGATTTACTGATCTCTCTGGTTACTCGGTCAACTCTTAAACACCTCTGCTGCACAGCTCAACAGCGCACACACTTTATACCAAGGGCTGCTCAGGTATCAAATGTATGGCGTCTGCAACTTTTGTGGTCTACGCCTAGACCAAGTGTAGATGTCAGACACAGTTTCTCAGTGGGTCACGGCAGTCCAAAGGCTTCCGGCTAGACTAGTCCTGGAAGCTGAGCTACTGCTTTAAAACCTGTCACAGACATCTCTACAATCAGCAGTGTAGAAATACTCTTGAGTATAAGCGAGCTAGAAAGTAGAACTGAAAACAAAACACGGACGAACTTGCACCATCTGTTTTGAAATGCCAACACTTTCCCAGAATAACCTGTGCATCACTACCTCAAGACATTCCCTAAAAGAAGCGCTTGATTAAAAAACAGAATTGTTGTCTGAAAACTGATTCATGAGTGTGAGGAAGGCAATGTATTTGTTCCGGTGTGTGCAGCTCAGAGCTTCACACCTGCCTATATTAGGTTCAGTTTCTGTGTATCTGCATTCTTCAGTGCTCATCTTACAGCTCCATGCAAGAGATTTATGCTTTAATTTGGCAGCCAGGCTTCACTACCAGTGGAAAAAAATAATTAAAAAATAGAGAAAGCAAGAAGAAGGGTTGTCTTAAGAGAATGAATCCAGATGCAGGATTTTTTTTTTACCCTATTTTGTTTTCAATTTTGAGTAAATTAATATCCATGTCTTGTCAAAACCAGAAATAAAGGCTATGGTTGGCATTTTAAAAGAACGTGAATGGTTTAGAAACAAAAGCCCTGTTGACTTTCATGGGTCAAAACATCTGAAAAACCAAAGATGGGGTTTAGTTGCTTAAACATAGGTATCTAGTGTCTTTTTAGAGGCTCTGGGGTATCCTCTAGCCCACAGCTCCTGATCCAGAAGAATACGTCTCCTGTAGGGTTTGTGTCATATTTGCCAGACCCACGCCAGGCCCACTCTAGGGCACCTCAAATGACACTAGCTGCCTACGTTCAGGCCATTAAGTCCCCTATACTTTGTTTTTTCAGAGCTGCGATTCTTGATGCCATCCATAAGAACTGTGAGTGAGCAGAGTCTCTAATAACCAGGTCACCTATCAAAGTGTCTGGACATAAATTCAGTGATTAATTTCTACAGTTTTACCTGAAACTTGTGGACAATGACTGTTACAAGCTGAACGGTATAAAAAGGCACTTATCCGTGGTAATGACTTGTACAGAGGAAAGGGAGATGACAACCTGTAATTCAGATCTAATACAATAAATTGTTTTCCTGTTTTCATAGCTGATTGTCTGGTTTTGTGTTTTCATCTGCAAGTTGGATTTAAATTTGAATAGCTATCTCTGAATGAATTAGTACTCACTAATGTTTGATATGACAAAGAAACTTATTTCATATAAGGATACAGTAATTCCAGCATCTCCTCAGCCTACAGAATGAGGGAACACACTGGGCTCTGTGCAGGGATTTATAGATCCGTTTGTGAAAGTTTGGGTTTTTATCTCCAGTAATGATGGCAAATTCAGGTTTTATTTTTTTCTTACTCTAGAGCAAATCTGAGTCTAATTGTTAAACTCAAAATCAATTTCTGAGGTTGAAGAGTGGATATGGACCTCTAGGAAATTGTACCAGTACCTCCTTCTAATCCCACACTGCCCAGAGTAGAAATTAAAGTTTTCCCATTCAAAACAATAATGTCTTGGGACTAGCTTATCTGCATGAATTTCCTCATATGATTTCAGCACCCAAGCTCTAGATCAGTATCTTGGCACAACACCCATAGTCAACTTAATGGCGTGATTCATACAAGCACTGTTTCTGTCAGGTTTGTTACTTGCAAAGTACTTCATTTTATTAAAGTCCATTTGGAGATGGGTGAAAACGTACATAGAGTGCAAAGGAAAAAATACTTTATTGTGAACATGGCTTGGAGATGCATGAGACATTTCAGAATATACTGTTATATATCAAATGAAGAAAAAAAATAAGCTATGACACGAGATAAATGACCAGTGCTTGAGACCAATGAAAAACATGGACACAGCTGTTCTAATAGCACAGTTCCGATACCAATCACAACATGTATCATATAGCATTTATGATCAGAGGCAATTTTAAACAATGTTTATAAAAATGCAAATATTGGACCTACTCCTGCATTGTTGCACATCCAAAGCTTCAGTGAGTCTTGCAGGTGTGTGGAGGGAACAATGAGAGCAAACTGACACCCCACCTCAGGCAGCAGGAGGTAGAGATGGAGGAAACATCAAAAACAAGAGACAAAACCACTGTTCTACAAAAGTAAAAAGGCAAATATTATCCCAAGGAATATTATTATTTTCACAAGAAATCTTAATTGCAGCATCCTGACTCCATTAAAGCCAATGAGAGTCTACCATTGAGATCAGTGGAGCCTGAATTTCATTCTGAAACTTAAAACATTCTCGCATCAGTGTAAACATCAGCAGAAACAACATGTCAGCATCTATACAAGTATTCAAGTGCTGTTTAAAAAAAAAAATAAAAACCAGACAGTGCTAACCAAAAATGCCAGTACATATCCAAAAGGCAGATAATTAAAAGAGGTTTTTTCAAATATACATTTTAAAGTATTTAAAAGCATCCATTTTTTAGTATTTGTATATCATTGCGATGGAAAGGAACTATGAGAAAAATCTGAATTATTTGCAATGAAAAAGGAAGGGCACAGTGTTTCCTCAGATTTATTTGAAACACAGTATTTTTCCACTTTGGAGTAATGACATCCACCTGCACATTCAAGCACATTTCAAAGCAGTGCTGAGGAGTGGCTGTACTTCATCGTTATGAAATATACTCCTTCTGTGCAAGTATTTCAGCATTATTCCTCATGAGCCATTTACACCCATTCATATTTTCAGTAGAAAAGAAACAGAAAGGAAAATCTCTTGAAGAAATATTTTTTTGTCTTTAAACAACCTGATGAGGTTTTACATCATGGCAATTTACAATCATGCATTTGGAGATCCAGAGTCAATACAACTTTTCCATTTACTGTTAGAGTTGTGCCTGTCTTCAAACAGTTCTCTGCTAATTTTCGTGCGGATATCAGAACTGGATAACAGCTCCTTTATCTGATTCAGTCTGGATAACAGGGCCTGCGTTTCTCTGTGCAAAGCTTCCTTTACTAAGTCTGCTTCATGGCTCTTTCCTAGAGGAAAAGAACAATATAATACATTTTATAACAACTAATGTCATTTAGAGTCATTAATGTATGGAGATAAAGAGATCATATCTGGTTTGGACAGTATTAATCGCTCAGCCTTTTGCCCACATTGATTTTTTTATAAAAAGGTACTTTGTCAAAAAAATATAATTTACATCAACAAACGCTACCAAAAAGTAAAGAACAGTACAGCATTCTGTCACATTTAAGAGAAACATACTCTGTAATAGTATCTGCGATGAGTATCTGTAGTGGTAATTTTTAGCTTGGGGTTGACTGTTGTTGACTAGGAAACAGCATGTGCTCTCACATGGAGTAAGCAGCCCTGCGGCAGCGCCAAACCCTCGGGCGGAGAGCGTCGCTTCCACTTACGGCAAGGCCTCTTCCACGGCCATTCATGACAATCCAAAAGGCAAACACAAAGGGTTCAGTTTCTCTTCATAAGCAAGGAGGGGACTCTTGGTATCAAAGGCCAGTGAAGACTGGAGCCGCCTGCTTCACCATTCTTGCCTTTTTTCCACCATCCATCCCTCCCAGTCTTCAACAGATTTTCAGCAGTGGAAGCACTTATTAAACTGGTAGACAGTGTCCTTCGATTCAGAACAAACTTTTGATAAGAGACTCACAAAGCAGAGTGCCTGTCACCCAGCACCACTTAGCAAATTTGAGTGGGGAGCTGGGACGTGTTTTTGTGGTTATTCTTGGTGGGATATTTGCTCCCGGGCTTTTTGCACAGTGCTCACTTGCTGTTATCATTGTCGCTCTCATTCTTACTGCCGCTTTCTGCTTCTTTAGTTTTCACAGGGCTTCCATCAGTCTGTCTGGTTTTGTTTTGCGTTTCTTCTAAATATTGCTGTACAGCCTTCAGCACCGCGTTCTCCACCAGCCTTTTGCTCAGGCTCACCAGCTCTGCATCATCTGGCTCTGCTGCATGTTTTTCACCTATGCGTCACAACAGACAAGAGAAGGAATTCATTGTCGCGGAAAGGTAGTAGCCGTAATTGTATCAGGAGCCTCTGGCTGAGCTGGATTTTAAGTTATTAGCTGCCTCTTCCTGATTGTAAAAAGTAATTTCCCCCTCCTCAAGCTCTGAATCAAAAGTATTTCATGAAGATGTATACAGTATATCAGATCAAAAATATTTCACTGCTCATCTTTATTATAACACTCCAGTAAAAGCCACTGGCTAACACCGTGAGCACCCACTCAGCTTAGAAGAGTAAGTGTGCAAAATTAATTTCTTCTGGTCAACAATCACCTGCGACATCTGGGCAAAGATGAAGAACACAGCACATGATGAATTTACATTTTAGCAGCATTCTTAAATGTAGCTGCCCCTGTTTTGTGATTTTGCTTAATAAATCTAAAATCTTCTACCTATTTATTCATTGCTTGTAATTCAAGAGTTTCTCATGGGAAAAATGATGTAAAATGCTCTAAGCACAGGTTTGAAATTTTTTTCTAAACAAAGCATAAAACTTGGAAAAACCATATGCTCCCTCTCTGTCTCTCTTCTGTCTTCTAATTTAAAGCTCTGACATTGAAGGAACGCAAGTTCCAGCAGTCTATTCTTAGATATCTGCTGATAAAAGCAAGAAGCTGGCATTTCCCTGCTTTCTGAAGAGTTCACATGAACAAATATATGTAATGAAATAACTGTATATATAGTGAGGATTCTCATACATCATTACATGTATTTTGAAACTGTACTTTTCCATAAATAATTTTCCTAATAACTATATAGCCCACTACAGCATCCTCCTTTTATGAAGAATGCAACCCAGGAAATGCAGTTTTTATTCTCTGATTTCCACTGGCCATGAAATCTGCCACTTCGCAATTTCTTGCACTGAGTAAGTAACTGTTTCCCTCCATCTATATTTAAAGGCCATACTTTTAATGTCCTTTTCTGGAGTTAGCGTTCTGCAACCAGTTATAGGCTGCTTAGTCACACACATCTGGTGAAAGAGATACTATTGTATGCTCTCAGCACAAAGCTCTGTACTGTTCAATTATCTAAATTTGCTCTTTTTCATATATGTAAATTTATTCAAGTTTGCTAGCACATATAGATTATCGTTATAAAAGACTTTTATTAGTCTTCGTAGCGGACTGCACAACCCAGGAGTGATTTCACTCATAAAACATAATTCATATGGGGATTCGAGGGGGAGAGGGAGGGGTAAACGAAACTCTTCATTTTCAGAGGCAGCACCTTTATTAGCTGTTAATATGAGCATCCCGCTCTGGAACAGCAAGACGGACCAAACCCTTCCAGTTCCAGGCCGCCACACCACTGTCACTGTGGGGAAGGAAAACTGTGCTCTCCAGCTGAAGAGTCATCAGATTAGACCCGGGTAAAGCATTTCATTACATTTTGGAAAAAGGTTGGAAAAATACTCTAAAAAAAAAAAATATTAAAAAAAGGCAGCTATGGGAATAGTTTTGGTTAAAACAAAATAAAAAAAATAAGAGACAACATTAAAAACATGTTTAGCATTTCCAAGAAGAAATATTTTAGGTTAATATGCAAGTCCGAGGCAGGCACAGGCACAATTCCCAAAGCCACCCAAAGAGCTACATACTCCACGTTCTCTGGCCCACTGCTTACCATGTTCCTTCGCTACCTGTAAATCCTGGGTTTAAGTCTATCCCTGAACTTACTTAGAGGAGGGACTTAATTCAGGCTTTTATCTCTCAGGAGACTTATGATACATGAAAGCAGCATCTCCTCCCAGCTTTTATGAATTGATCCCACATGCTCCTTTGAATGGAGCCCTTTGATTCCAAATTTCCTTTGCTTTTATTAAAGATGCTCGACAAAATGTTTTGGTTGTCTCAGCCTATTTATTCACTAGCAAAAAAACCCAAAACCACTGTGGTTTCCAGTTGGAAAGTTTCTTATTTTTCAGAATTGCTAGTGAATCACAGAAATTTTTACTCACACAGCTCTAATGATCTGTCCACACAACCCTGAACAAAATCAATGGGAAATATGGTGCTCAGCCACTCTGACACTTGACCCTATAGTACTTAATATGCAGAATATGACTAATCAGTCACAGAGGCCTCCAGATACCACAAACCAGCAGTGATTATATTTACTCAGAATGCAATTTTACTTGTAGTACATTATGCATTATTCTTACAGTCTAAAAAAGGACAGAGATCTTCTCTCATAAATATTTTCTGCAAAACAGTTCTCATTTACATATATGCGTATAAAATCCATGTATCTACTATTGCATTTAAAACTTCAAAGAAAGTAGATAGCTCACTGTGTAAGTAATTTCTCAAGCATGAAAAAAGTCAGACTACTTAAAATGAGCCTTTTAAAAGTACAGTTTATATAACTAGAGAAGAATAGTTTGGGTTTGGTTTCTTTTTTGGTAATATTTTTGAGACATTCATGGCTCACCAACAGTCTGGAGTCAAGTCTATAAAACCTCCTAAGTAAGCTCTGCATTCTCACCAGGAAGACATACACGGGATCTGACTGACATGTGAATGCGAATGCGTGCACGTCCCTGTATGAAGAGCGCCCTTGGATTTATCCGTCCGGCCACCTTGGTGGACTGGCACATGGGGCCATATGATTCACTCATGCTCTGTTTATATTCTCAGACTCCCTAAATAGCAGTTGTGTGAGTGGTTGTGCAATGCTGAGGTTCACTGGCAAGGTAGTTGTATAGTATTGTATGATTCCTATCCGTGACTGTTGACAAAAAGAAATAGGTCACATAATAACAACAGGTATGGATCATCTATATTTACTTGATTATTTAACACACATATAGGTCCTGTTTATATCTCTCTCTCCATGCTGCATCTGCTGCTTGCCTGCTTCTTAGATGTATACAATTCCTTTGCAGCAGGCAAATGCTTCTTTATGTAGACTGTCTTACGTTATAGGAATTATCAAAATATCAGTAAAAAGCCATTGGAGATATGAATGTTTTAGATTTAAAAGGGAGGTTTAAAAATTCAGAATTGCTTTGTTTGTAAACTGTTCTTGAAAGGGAACAGATACATCATGTGCACTATACTTGCATCTATGCTGTGCCTCTTAGTATGGGCTGTGCCACTACTTTATTTCTGTGCCTGTGAATAAAAAACTTCCACTGCCTTCTCCTGCACGTGGCTCAGAATAAAAATGAAAAAACCCTTTCATTTTGTTTATCCCAGAGTTCTCTTCTGTAATTTTCAAAAGATGAAAACAAATTCATGCTCTGTGAATGTATCTCAATGCATCCATGCTAAGCAGTGCTTTTTATTACTGAAACCGAAGCACACCTATTGTCCTGAAATGACTGCTATTTTTTACAAAAGGGAACTACCAACTGCACAGAATTATTCAAAAGGGGCTTTATGATCCTACAGCACACTGCTAACAGTTATGGACATGAACCAGATCCCTGCAACCAAATCCAAGTTTGGATTCAAATTCACTGCAGTATCTCTCTACTGGACTAGGTATACTCTCCAAGTCTACACCCCCTTATGCTTTACAAGACCGTGATCTGGATTTTGAAATACTGCATTGGAACAAATCAGATTTCGTGGTCCTGGTACAGCATTTTCATGGTCCTGACATAGCCTGTTTTAGAGTCCATGTGGATATCTCCAGTTTGGAGAGAGGCAGGACAGTTACTTGGATCCCTCTCCTGTTTATACTACTAGTCCATTTTTTGTGAGAGATTTAATTGAAAGAACCAACAGTGGATCCCTTTTACAGAAAAAGCCAGTTTTACAACCTTTTACCAGCTACACTCCAAGACAACATCCTGCAATCCTTGCCTCATGGCCTCAACACACTGGGTTTTGTTTTTCCCTCCAACAACCTTTCATCACAACAAAATGATGCCAACGTGGGGCAAATTATAAAAGGAGACCCTTGGTATTCTGAATAGGTGACTGAGACCAGCTGGGAAGTCTGTACTGTGGCAGCAGAGGTTACAGTCCGCACCCTGGGGAGGGCCGTGGTAACAGACGTGCCTCCGTCTACCCTTTGTTTCATCAGTTTTCTAATACTGTTTTTACAAAATCTAGAAACAAAAACAGGCCCCCCCACGAGGGCCTCAGGCAATCTTTCAAAAACTAACCATTAAAAAATTCCTTCTGAATACTGGAAAGCTTCATTTTTTACTTACACCGTGCCTCTGACTGACACCAAGAGGGTGAGCCAAGTCACTGTTGCAAACCCTCAAAGCTTTCACCGCAAGACTCCCTTTCTATGGTGACTCCTCAGTGGCTCCAACGCATAATAATCCCTTAGTGTAAGATAACTGATTATTTCCCTCTCCGTACAGGGGCAAAAAGCTTTGCTGGTGTGCAGTATAGCAGGAACAGGACTGGAAGGAAGGAGACAACTACCCTAACCATTGGCAGACTAAGAAACCGTCAGCAGATGAATATAAATTATTCCTGCCTATGGTAGGGTTAGAGAAGACAAAGGCAGGCCAATAAAACAAATCCCTGACAGATTTCAGCGTGTGAATTCATACAGTTTGCAATGTCAGTGGTTGTGCCTTTATCATGGTTCACTATCTCTATATGATCAGGAAAAGATCTAAGAGCGAAGACATAATCTATACTCTCAATGCCCAGGGAGATGTAGACTATTGCAAGGCTGCCATGCTCAGCTGCAGCCTGTGGAAACATCTAGGTTTTGCTACACTAGACCTTTGTGTCTGCAGAATCTGATTCAAAATTAAATTAAATCTCATTGACTTCCATGGGAATTGGATGAGGTTCCCACACCTACATACTGAACTGCAATGTCCTGTGTGTCAGATCCATGTGCTGAACGTTTTCTTTACCGAGGACTTTCAGATACATTTGGTAGGCCATATATAAACAGAACTATAGCATTAGAAAAATACCATCCCCCCTCGCCCTGCAAAGACAGTGAGTCCACAGTCCATAATAAACGGCAAAACAAG